AAACCTCATCAGATATAATCAAATATAAAAGTTGTATTATATAAAAAGGGAACGTTGCCCTTGCTCGGTTGTGTAACAATGAGTTGCTGTCATGTACTTGGCCAACCTTCCTCAAAGACAGACTGACAAAAGGTAGGTTCAGATTAAGGTGCTGATATAACTAATGCAGGCAGAGTCTGAACAAAACCATCTGAGGAACACAAACACTCCTCTCTAAGATTCACTATTGTCTAGCCAAGCCTGGTTGATCCATTCACTGTCATTTTAGGCTTCCCATTGGCACTGCAGATGTATTAGAAAAACAAATATGACACAGTGTAGAGTATGTAAAACTGCGTAATAAAATCAATATGAATTTCAGACACCCAGTAGTCTGGTTTGCACCTCTTGTCTGGCTTTTTATGAAAACTAACATTGTATCTGCCTAACTTGCCATTTGTGTGTCGTCTTCTGTTTGTCTCAGTCTGCTAGTGTACTTTCCATAAGAGGAAGTAACTTCTCATGTTTTTCAGAACATGGTTTGTTTTCTTCCTGAAAGGGAATTCCCAGTCTGTTAGGTGACACACTGGCACAGATCGGCAGATGTCTGCCAGAAGGAAAACCCACAAAATGTATTTACCTTCTCAAAGATCTTTGTGAACAGTTATCCTCTGTTTGCTCTGAATACTATGCAAGTGTCTGAGTCACTTCATCAAACTAAAATCACTTAACCCACAAGTATAGGATTCTGTATCAACTGATAAAGGCTCAGTGTGTTACAGTTAATATGTTGCTACTGTGAAACTGTGGCTCTGCTCCACGAGCGCTATGTGTTCACAGGCTCAAAGAGCAAGATCAGAGATGTTGTGTTAGGAATACTGATTCACGCAGGGAGTTGCCTCCTCACACACACCCTTATTTCTCTATCTTACAGTCACACAGATGCTCAGTGAAATCAATGTCAGCCTCAATACATATTATTATTCACAGGTCTGGTAGTTTCTTCAGGTTATATTGGCATAAAGCATTTTCTGACTGAACAAATGTTTGTGTTCTCAACAATTGAATTTGTTTCCATGTGACTGCAGTACGTTTTGTTCCTCTCAAAAATGTAAACTGCTTTGTTCAACACACTAAAATAACGCTTAATGCTTGGTTGGTCACTTGATGAGTTGATCCTTAGAAAACAAAATAACTAATCTATCAGGCTATTCAGCAATGAAATAAACGGAAGAATATATTCTATAGTATTTACAACTGTGCAACAATCCAACATTTTGTATTAAGTTACCATTGAATTATTTCAGTTGGTTCCCTGAGCATCTATCCTAGTCCCAACAGCTAGAGGATGTTGTGTATTGTACACATTGTTAATCCATTCTAGGCTAATTTGAGGTTTTTGGCTCTAAGACAAAAATATCTTGCTCTTGTAATCATGAAAAGTAATTTTTGAATTATTATACAATAGGTTATTTCAGCTTTGTATTATTCCACTTGTGTGAAAAGTGAGGCAAGTTACGGTCTTTGGAGGGAGAGCTGCATGGAATTGCATAACAGTCAACAACTTATTCCTCGGAAAGACACTGCCTTAAATGCCTGTCATGCAAAAATACTTTTCCATAGAAGGTACGTGTTGAGTGGACCAATCTTAAAATGTGCATGTAGTTTGATTAAGATGGAAAGCAGAAACAAGCAGACACCAGCAAGAAGAAGCCATGTGTGTGAGCACCAGTGAACAAACACAATCAGCTTGTTTCAGATCAGCAGTGGGTCAGCTCTGAATGGTTTTATTAACCAACTCAAATTCATGGCTGTCTCTAAATAAAGTCCTTGCTTTTTCACATAATTTAGACTTCAGTAATGACGCAATAGCGAACCAGTGGTAAATCAAGCAGCAATGCCCTTGGGGAACAAATACATGAGAAAAGAACATCTACATTTCCACTTGTTTAGTTCACTATTCAGCTGCACACATGGAATTCAAAACTACTACTACATTACATTGCATTTAGCTGACGCTTTTATCCAAAGCGACTTACAATAAGTGCATTCGACCAAGAAGATACAAACTTGAAGAAAACAGAATCATATAAGTACATCAGGTTTCATAGAGCCAAAACATTTCAAGTGCTACTCAACTGGCTTTAGATAAGCCAGTCCTTTATTAGTATATAAGTGCTTTGTTAGCAATTCTTTGTTAGTAATTCTATCGCTCGAAGTGGAGTCGAAAGAGATGAGTTTTCAGTCTGCGCCGTGTAGGCTTTCTGCTACTTTCGGATAGTACTACTACTACTTAAGCATCTAAATAAATGAAGCTGCATAGGAGCAAGGGAAGCTTATACGTATTAGTAGCATAAGATTGTCATGCCTTTCTAGAGCATTGAAACATTTGAAGAAGGTATTAGTTTTGGTTTTGAATGCTTATCAAAAGCAGTCAGTTTGTACCCCTTTGGCATAAATAATGCTAGGAATCATGATTTTGCTAGGAATAAGCTGCAAGTGGTTTTTCATAAAATAAGATAGCACAAAGGGGTAATAACAAATACTAACTTCCTGTTATGATGCACCCATACTAAAATATAGTATGAATTTGGAAGCAAAATACATTTAGATACAGATTTCTCCAAAACACATTTAAGTGAAGTTTCTTGATCAAAAAATGGTGTCACTAATGCAGCTGTGATGACATAAACCCTCTCAGTGCCCCCACCCATTCTCCCAGCCACACCCCGCTGGCTACAGCTTATACAGTTTGAGATTCATAACAGGACCTCGCTAGTTGTTGAACTTGGAGCAGGGGGATTCCCTCCTGATGTGAGAAAAATAAGACAGCTGTTTTTATTGAACACCTGGACATATTGCATGTTGCAGATGATCAACCATGTGCACCAAGATTAACGTCCACCAGCTGCCAGATGGTGGGAAAACAACATCATGAGCTCAATCTGGATGGAAGAAGAATATGAGGAGAGTATATTTTACAAACTCACAATAACACACACTGTCCTGAATATACAGTATGGGGTGCAACTAATTATGTTTTTCATTATTGAATAATCTGCTTATTTGTTTCTCGGTTCATAGTTTGGTCTATACAATTGTCAAAAGGGGGTCTTTAAAATACCCAAGACCCAAGAAAGTCAGCTTAATATGTATAACCTGAAAATAGCAGGAAAACTGCATATTAGAGGCTGAAAACTATTTCCTAAAAGTTCTGCAAAATACTTAAGATTAAAGGGGCCTTTTTATGCAAATGTTCAGGTTTATAGTTGTATTTTATGCCTTTACTGTGACATGTTTACATGCTTTAATGTTCAAAAAGGTCTTTATTTTTCTCATACTGCGTGTGCTGCATAGCTTTTTCACCCTCCGTCTGAAAGCCAGTGTGGTGTGGCTTTTTTCACCCTCCATCTGAAACCAGAGTCTGCTCTGATTGGTCAGCTGGCCGGCTTTGTTGTGACTGGTCAACCGCTTAGAGGTGTCCCAGCCCTTCGCTTATCACGTACAATGTGTTGGAGCTCTAGCCAATAGTAGCTTGAGTGTTACATGGTGATGTCATTATGTTACGGAAGTAAACAAAGGAGTCGAATGGATGCATTTCAAAGGCAGTGGGGGAGAAACATTGGGGGTTTAGCCTTTGCAGACCATTACATAGATAGACAATAGCCTATATAACACACTCCAGGAAAGGGAAAACCCCAAAGAGCATAATTGAGCCCCTTTAAAAAGGGTTAAATATGTTTCTGTTAATCGACTAATCATTGTGGTTCTACTGAATATTTGTGGTCATGTATGATCTAAAGATGCATCGACGCTCCAAGCACTCACACCTCAGATGCCATGAGCTAAAGTAACAATAACTAACACAACACATTCAGCTCACTATTATAGCAGGTCTTTGATCAATCCACCCAGAAAGAAGAACATTACTGCATAAACATGTTGTCATTTGCATGAGTTTTCTATTTGGCACTTTAATTCAACAAGCTTTTTTTTTTTTTTTTATCATTAGCAATCCAAGAGGAAAACAAGCCTTTCTCAAGCGCAAACTATTTAAAAGAGAAGCTGTGGCAAAACTGCCCCCTCTGTATCTGCCACTAAGTTTTATAATGGCCAAAATTAAGAATAAGAATTCCCACCATCCTGGAAACAAGAGGCAGAGAGCGGACCCTTTCCTTAACATAACAAATGAAGAGAAAAATCAATAACACTCTCCGGCACTGTGTCCATTTATTTGGCAGGGATGTTCCCATTCCACTCTCTCAAATAACAAAGATGGAAAAAAAACAACAATTGCCAATGATATCATGTGGCTGGACCTCTGCTGCAAATTTTGTGAAAACTAAGACGCAAGCTGTTCCAAATAACACCAAAAAAAAAGCACAATAGGAGACTTAGAGAAGGAAGGAGTTATTCAATTTTGTTTTGTACTGCTTGCATGCCTTAAACACATTATATTGATTCAGTAAAGATGTGTTTTTCTCAAATTATATTATACTATTGTACTTTGTAATCATTCTACAAATTGATATGCAATTTATTTCTGTCTACGAATTGAATGTTTATTTTTTCGTCTATTGGTTTTTACATTTTACAAAATTTGAATAACACATTTAATGAAAAGATAATCATTTATAATGGTAAACATAGCCAGCAAGGGTTTTTCTTGATATACTGTATGACTTGCGTAACTAATTGATTATCAATTTTATCCCTTATTTACTGTTGGACAAAGAATAATTTAATTAACCTTTTAGTACTACTTATTATCATATTGGAAGGAGATTTTTTACTTTACAAACTAAATTGTCTGAAATGTAAAATTGACATAGTAACAGTAACAGCAGTAAACACAAAAGCAGATCAATAAGCCAACATGACACAAAGATTCCTAAAAATAAATAAAATCTTAATGAATTGACTTGTTAGGTTTCATTGTGTTTTAAACAGGGAGATGGTGAGAGTTAAATGAAATCAGTGGCAGGTGGATAGAGCAGCAAGCACAGGTCAGGCTTTCCTACCGTGGTTGTCGTCTGACTGGTTGAACCCACACAGCTGGCAGATGGAACGGACCCACTTGTTCATCTCCTCCTCAGTCTCAGCTACGAGATAAAAAGTGCGGTCTGAGGTCTTGATGTCAAACACGAAGCTGTCCTGGAACTCCTTCCTCTTAAAGGTCAGGCCGGCGTCAACCTGCTCGCAGCAGTGCAGGTCGATGACCCTGATGGGTTTCTTGGAGTGGTCGTTCTTGTAGTACTCGAGAACATCAGGGTCACCACTCATGCGGCCGCTGCGGAGTATGAACCAGCGTTTCTTCCATGCCTGGGAAATGGAAATAAAATGTAAGTACAAGACTGACCCTGTGAGCCAGAACAGCAAAATCATATGTGTTGATGGAGAATTATACTTTTATCTGCATTTAAAATACTGAACAATAGTTCTGTTTAATTCCCTACTCTATGTGATGCAGAATGTTACCGTGGCAACGCACTCAACCGCTGAACTGGGTTGTGATGTTAACTGTTTATCAAGCAGGGAAACTAAAGTCTGCCTGTATACTTGAGGAGGATGCTGTGCTTTAGCAGGCATGTGGTTGTGGTGTGGTTGGTGTGTGTGTGTGTTGGAGGTTGTGGGGGGGAGGCAGCAGGTGTTTACTCCCTCCCAACGTATTTCCTGTGCTGAAATCCCTCTGTGAGCTAAGACAGAAGCAGATCTCCTCCATGACAACTTCATTATGAGACTGCAGGCCCCGCCCTCTTCCAGAAGTGGTGAATGACACTGCGTTGCTCCAATCAACACTGACCCATAGCTGCGTGTGACCGTGTCACTGAAGTTGCCTCTAAGAGTGTAAATAAACACTCCTTGTCATAACCAGATGAAAGGCAGCAGCAGTCCAACAATACACACAATTATGCAAGAGCAAAACCAACAAAAGTAACATGTTGATTTCACAAAGACAAAACCACTGTTGCGTTTGTCAACTGGAAACAGCATAAAGGAAGGACAGTGGCCTCCATATGTTTTCCCAGTAACTGTCTTAAAGGGCCTCTGTGTTCTCCGTGCTCAGAGACAAAAGAGGAAGATAGACCAGGAAGGGAGAGGGGGAGTAAAGGGGGGTTTTGGACATCTGCCAGTGATGCACTTCCGCCAGGCAATGCCTCTCACATGCAGGCTGCTGACACACAGGATCCTGCAGGCCCCCTCTCTCTCCATCAACACAGACACTGCTGCAAGGCTAGCTGCCCCACACCCCCTCAAAGCAGACAGATGCATAAACACAGGGCAGAACATGGATTTCATTGCATCTCTCCTGTGCTTTTCAAATGAGGTATTTCTAATCTTCATCATCATCATTTTCTTATAAGCTATTTCAGGGATACAATGAATGATGGCTGAATTAGCTGTTTAGGTTTCAATTTCCTTGTACTGCGCACACTGGCTCTCTCTCACACTCATATGTATATCTGTGACATTTGTACACACTTCTAAAATGTTCTGTTTATTTATCCTCTGAGAAGTCAACAGAGGTAAAAAGAAAAAAGGCAGCAACACATTTTTTCCCCAGGAAGTGCAGATTGTGATCTTATCTCCTGTGTAGCTGAAGAGCTCCATGTGGTATATGACTTTTTCATTTGTATTTTCTGTGAGAACGATACACTGATAAAAGCTGGAGGCAGTATATATATCCTACCACCACAGCCCTAGTTTCAGTACGTTTAATCAGGCCCTATCTGATGAGATATACGAGGTCATTTCTCACTATGGGAGGTTGTTATTAATGTTGCAGTTTGTACTGCTAAAGGATGTGGGAGAAAATATTTCAAATAAAGTCTTTAAGCTTCCTTCTAAGTGATTCTATCTGAGTGTGAACTTCCTTATTTCCTAAATGTACAGTACAGTCATCTTACGCCTCAAAAGAAACAAACTCCATGTCCCCCATCGGGTCTGTAAAGCTCTTTGGTTCTGTGCCATTACACCATGCACAGCTATAACTCTTGCAAACCCCATTTAAATATTATTGCCTTTTCTGGAAGGAGAGAGCATCACTTAATTGAGACCTGGAGCGCTGCCCAGTTTTCAAGAGGTCAGTGTGACCCTGCTGGGTTATTCCTGGCATCCTTCAACTGCGGCCAGCGTATTAACCCAGGACAGCCACAGCTCTCCACCGCGGAGCAAAGACAAATCATTTAGGAGGCCTTATCACTCTAAAAATAGCATGCTTAGTTTCCACGGGAAATATAGTTGCAGCCTAATTTGGGAACAAATTAATTTCCAGCTTGGTCTTTGAATAAGAGGGTTAAATAATGTTTCCTTTTGTCACACTTTCTGCCAAGCTCTTGCGTGATATTGGTGTGTTTCTAATCAACATCTCAACTGGCATCGCAGCCTCTACTCCCTCTATCACTCTCTTTCTCTCTCATGAACTCTTTCAAATTCGAGCAAACTTCCCCGGCGAAGTAGATCATGGGGGAGGAGGACACAACAAAATGAGCTTACCCACCCACCGCCTGTCCAACAGAGCATGTCTAAGCCCATCGATCACTGTCTAAGCGCTGGGAAGTGAGCGCTGGAGCTGTAAAACTAGGCTGAACTCTCCCGGCTCTCCAACTTTCCCCTCCCCCTCATAGCTTTGGTTTAAGCAGCATCACTTTTCTATGGGGGGGGGGGGGGGGGCTCAGCTGAGAGACACACTGCCCCTAATAACAACTGGACACGACAGTCCATTGAACCACTGACAGAGCTGTGAGCCACCAATCACACCCTAAACTAATACAATATGATTTTTATGAGCTGTTTGCTGCAGCATCACAGGACGTGTTGGAGCTCCCTGCTATTTCTGCATGTGTTGTATGAAATGTGCTATATAAATAAAGCTTTATTATTATTTGCTCATCATGTTCCCGAGGTCAAAGTCAAATAAAGGTCAAATCTGAGCAGAAAGAAACTATAACCTCATTAAGCAAAAAACAAATAGCCTATACAACAAAAAATGGTTCTTTGTGTAGACTTCCTCGGATGTATTTTTGTAAAACTCTGCTTTTTAGATTGTCAGGGTCTAAACTGTAGAATAAATGGTCTGCCAGCGCTTGAAGCTCTCCAAGAAGAAGAGCAGCCATCCGTGTCTATGAGCGCACAGTGTTTAGTTCCTTCAGTCTTATCCAATCAGCCCATAAAGCTTGATCTCACCTTGTTCTAACTAAGTCTCCCTTTTCCTGTGCTGATGGCAGCCATGCTACAGATCCAGAGAGGCTACAGTGGAGTACAAAGGAGAACACGTCGGCATCTATTTCAGATGACTGGGAAGGAAAACCTCTAATAACAAATCCTCACACAAAAACCTTTTGAGCAAGTTCACTTCTAAAAATAGGATCAAAACGTGTTTTCTTGCCAATTCCTTTTGTTTCTTTGCATGTTGAGAAGGAGACATGTGTTGTTCTATTTTTGACTTCAAAACAATGATACTGGGAAAACAAACAATCATACAAAGGGGATACAATTGTCTGGTATGTGTTGATAGTTCTCTGAGGCTCAACACAACAGTTTAGGAGATAAATACACAGCGACAGCTGATAAGTCACGGCAGTCATTCACTGTATTTGCACATATCTAATCCAACACTGTAAAAACAAGCCCAGTCTCGTGTCTTTCAACACAACTCATCACTCTGCTGTCCTAGTAACACTGACTAATGAATTTGGGGATGGTTGTGGCCTAAACAATTATCCAAGGTGTGCCTTTTACAGCAATCGAGCAACACACAGTGTGTGTGTAGTAGTAGGCTGTGTCAACAGGCTGGCTGATAAGTATCAGTCCACATGTTTTTAAATGTGCATGAGCAAACATCCAAACTAAACACATATGCTATCATCATAAAGGTTAGAATAGTCTTGTTTACCTCTCCTCCTAGAGCAGGAGAGGAGGAGACAGCAGGTAGTTGTGTGTGACTCCGCCTCCTCTGCTTTACCTGCTGCTGCTGCTGCAGGACACACACCACACAGCTGCACAAACACTGACACTGTGAGGCTGCCGTACTGCTTGTGTACATTTTTTTTCATATTACCATCATTTTTGTAAAGGTCATGTGTTGCGGCAGGGCGATTTACCTTTTGTGACACTGAATGCTTGGCTGCCGTCGGAATGGAGGCCTTGGGCAACATGTTTGATCTGGGCAACATCGCTCAAACACACACACACACACACACACACACACACACACACACACACACACACACACACACACACACACACACACACACACACACACACACACACACACACACACACACACACACACACACACACACACACACACACACACACACACACACACACACACACACACACACACACACACACACACACACACACACACACACACACACACACACACACACACACACACACACACACACACACACACACACACACACACACACACACACACACACACACACACACACACACACACACACACAACACTGTGATGAGACTGCTTGTAACAAATGCACTAGTGCCGGGCCATTACTGCGTAATTATAGTAAAAGGTGAAGTGAGAGGGATCCCATCAGTGTTCTCAGAGGTCCCACCGGTGGGCTACTAAGGGATGGGACTGAGCATCAGGGAAAATAAGAGGGGGAGGAAAAGTGGTTGGGGAGGTAGTATCCAATTTCAGCCAAATTGGATACTACCTCTATTATCTTTCATATATTTTGAAGCTCCATAATCTTTATCCATCTTTTATCTTTTGTTCTTTTAAAGCTGGCTGTGTTTATTAAAACAATATTTACAACTCAAGAGCTATGAGTTCTGCATCATTCGTAACATTTAAAAAAGTAATTTTTTAAGAAGAAAACGTGTTAGTATCCCTCAAGCAAGATATGAATGACCTACAATATTTATATCTTGACCTTCCCCGGTAAAATGTTTTCAAAGGTCATACAATCAACTTTATTATCAATAATTCTAAGAGAGGACCAACTGCTCATAAGTTAGCATCGTACAGCTTTTCATTTCACACATACGGGATAATTACTGGTTCTAAATAAGGACAGCAGACATAGCCCGCCTACAAGAATTCCCTGTAATGCATTCACCCCACATCTATTCTGTGTGGGTGCTGTTTCCTAGCTTCTCAAAGTTAGCGAAGAACAAAAGAAGAATATTTAGCACATAAGTGACTCTTTTTTTTCTTGTCCCTTCTGGTGTCTGAATAAGATTAGAATTGCATCTTTACAAAACAACACCTCACAACAAAAGAACAGCAGCAAGAAGGACCTCGTTGCTGTGCAAGAATGAATAAGTAGGAGTGCAATAACAGCCAT